AAGATGTCGGAATAGGACTTTGACCAAGGAACAAAATCATCTTTATTTACAGTAACAAACCTTGTTGAAGAAGCACTCCTTATAGTAAAACAAAGCGAGGTTTACGACGAGACATTGATAAAATAAGCGAAATTGTCGGAGAGAAGAAAGATGGGGGAATGTGAGGTTTTCCTATATAACCATGGCAACATTGTCTGCTGGCCATCTTCAGGTCGTTTGCCCGATATCTCGCCGGCTCTGTCGGCATGCTCGAAGGTGGAGAAGGAGGTGAGTTTGTGGGACCGGGAAGAGGATGTTACATTTTATCTTATGCGGATCCATGAGCTGAGTGCTGGAATGGGTGTGGTAATGATGAGGGGTGAGGATGGGCATGATGGGATGATGGTGACGATGACGAGGAAGGTGAGGGTAACGATTGCGATGACGATGAGGGTAATAATCAGATAACTATGATGTTGGTGGTGATGATAACGATGTTAATGATAATATGATGATGAGAAAGAAAGAGTTGCTTGCAAACGAACAAAAATACAAGCTACTGATAATTATGATAACAGCGTGTGTGACTTTTGTCTACGAACTACAAATATGAAACCATAATAATACATTGTTTCATTTTCAAGACTTGCGCTTCTTTTTTAATTCAGATTGTATGTAATTGCTCCTTTGTATTTTAACAACAACGTTGACCTGATTGTGTGGTTGTATACGTCTCTGTTGAGCTAAACAAGTTTGCAATCCTTTTGCATGCATTGCAATGTGAAAAGAGGAGCAAGGAAGAAAAGTACTGCACAATGCGTCAATGGACAAAAAGAAAGACTAAAAAATGAACGATAAATTTGAAGATTTGTTCCTACTTTGCTACGCTTAATCATAGCATACTGTAATCTGCAATTCTACCAAAGTGTCATGATTTAGTACTTGTGACGAAAATCAAGTTTTGATTATGAAAAAAAGAACATTCACCAATGATGTTTAATATCATGCGAAGAATGTTCATGCCATGCTTAATCGTTCGATCTAATGGACGTTTAAGAAGGTGAGCCATGCATGTAAAGTCTACGAGACTCCCCACCGTGCTCTCTTTCGTGAATAACCGTGCGAAAATAAATTCGAGACTTGTTATCATTCCCCCAACTGCTCACCTATTTTCAAAATTGAACAAAAATAGGGGCTTTTTTACATGCGCATCAAAGTGTGACGGCTTTTACAAGCAATTTTGCACCCCTTTCAAGCCTAAGACTTTCTAACCGCCTAATTGTTTCCCTGTGTTCCTCAAAGGAAATACGTCTATTCTCTCGGTTTGATATTCTATTAGCGCTCGCTTTGGAGACTTAGGCTTGAATAGGACCTGTAAATCTGACGATGTACCAAGTGACACTGTTGTATGATTGTACCTGTAAAGATGACCACTCGATATAAGATGACCAGTGTAGTGGTGAGGTCCAGTCCTTGTAAGTGGTTTTTAGTTTACAGGACGTTCTGGAAGGGGATTGAATAAGGAGCTTGTCATTTTAACGCTCTCCCATCATGTCTTCATTGTGTGCCACTCTCTAGTGTACTTCACTTTCTCCGTCGTGCATGTCTTCTCCTCGTTTCACTTTCCCCACTTCTACCTTTTCCTCTTCCTTATCTTTTTATCAGCATTACTTTTTGTTTGCCCTATTGTTTAATTTCTGTTGTTTTCACCCCATTTCCCTCATTTTCTGTTATATTCTTTCCGTTTTATTCCATTTTTGTCATCCAATAATTTCCAGAATTTAATAGCATTCGACCGCTCCTTTTTCGCTTTTTTATATTCCCTTTTTAAATTGTATTCTAGTTCAAATATAGATAGGGTTCAATCCTTATTGATAAGACAAACCACATAGGTCAACATTTACCATTTATAAAGTTCAGCCAAGTTTATCTTTCAATTGATAGAAGTCGGACCGAATAGAGTCCCACGTTTATATTTCTTTATTTCACTATACTAACTGTGATAGCATTATATTTCCCCTATTAAAAATCCACATTTAGGCCCCGTCTAATTTACATTTAGCTTGTAACATTTCTCTAGAACGCTAAGCTTTCTGATTAGCATGCATTTATGTTATATAGGAAGCTATTTCAAAAGTTATTTTAGTGACAATTACAAAAACAGGAGTAAAAGAGCGATTAGAGCCAGCTAAATTGTGGTTGAGCTTCTGGCTCACAAGACATAACATCACACACAAACTCATAAACGCCCCCCCCCCCCCACCCTTTTCTTCTCTAAGAAAATTCCAAACCTCATTCCTCTCTTTCCCCTGGAGAAACTAATCACCGGCTTTTGACCGTTTACATGAATAGAATCAATTACTGGTCCCAGAAACCCATGAATAAAACCCAAATAAAAAAGGACAACGCTTTTCGGTCATTTCTATGTATCCCCTCTATAGATGAACATTCTCTAAGAGCTGACATGGCTGAGAAGTAAATTAGGAAAGGTCTGCTTGGACCCCTTACAATGGTGGCAACTGATTTGTTGTGATGACACGTATAACGGTCCATATAAATCCAGTTGTTTGCATAGGCTGAATAGTCCTAATTAAATGCTCTATTACGGGCCACTATGTTTTTTCCTTTTATCGCGCTTTTCTTTAATCCAAAGACCTGTTTCCCTTGGTGCAACAATGATGGGATGATCATGAAATGCATGTCAAATTAATGGTAGAAAATAACACCTTCAAAATAGCCATTCTAATAGGACCACACAGTCATGATGAGGAATATTCCCAGGGTATATTAAAAAGTCCAAGATCGGCTTTGAAATTCACCCACCCGATAACCTAAAAAAATGTGAAAAATGTCATTGAGAAACATGAATTGTCCATATCGCCAAGAAATAATAAAGCCCTAACCTTTGTCACACTTAGCATAATGCAAGACCAATTTTCTGTTCTTTTTTTATTATGTTGCTTTTAAATTCCTATGGAAGCACACTCCATCATGCTGATAAGATTTTGGAAAGTATTTATCCCTTTTTTAAAACCAACGTAGCGAGTAAATATTATGAAATATGGTGATGTCCCTACTCATAACATAATATTCATGTTATCCAAAATCATTTTAACCTTCCTAAGTGTAGTAAATGTTCATGTTTGGGTGAAAAACAAATATGCGAAGTTTAAAAAAAAAGAGAAAAAAAGGGGGCTTTCAAATATTTCGGTATACTGTATAAAAAAATATGTATAAATCACCTTGCTTCTGTAAATTATCTACCCATGCAAATTGTATCATTTCAATTTACATAGAATGGTTTAGCAAGCAAGCAATTCTGCCAATCAGACAAATTTAAAAGTACCTATTTTCCCACTTTTTTCCTATCATTGTAGAAACTCAGTGAATTTCTGTTTTAACTGTGGAAATTAGAAGTTCCCAGGAAGATATAGCATTAACCTGATACATTCGATCATATTGTTACATATTCATTAATACAATACAATATAAAGTAATTATGTCCCCGATGTTGCACTTATGTACTCGAGCATGCATGAAAAAAGAAAGAAAAGATGATAACTTTGAGAAGTCGAACCCTCTTCGTTTAGCTGTGAGGTAATCAAAACTGATGACATAATAACTCACATAAAATATTATAGATTATATAATGTAAGTAATATCTTACATCTGTGAAATATTTTGAGTGCTCTTTTAAAGGAGTTTGTTGATTTTATATTTCGAATATCATTAGGTAAAGAATTCTATACATCTGATTCTCTATGTCTGATTCATTTCTGGGCTAATGTAGTGTGAGGATTGACCACATGTAAATTCACTATAAAAGTGAAGAGTCACTTGAAATATGTAGAGCCTATTATATCAGTTGTTTTTTTTATGAATGAATCTTATTTTACAAAAGGTTAAAATACGGAATGGTTTGCACTTTGCCATTTAACACGTACGATTTAACCAGAGCATTTTTTTTCTTGACTTAGTCATTATCGCAGGTACTTAAATAGTACAATTAAAAATAATGAAAGAAATCGTAAGTGTCATTATTTTTCAAGTCTTTCAGTCATCATATGTTTCATAGTAAAAAAAAACTTAATAAGAAATGCTTTTCATTCGATTTCTTTCTTGTTGTAATTATATTTTTAGAGCAATCGAATCATTTCGATTTCCTATGTCTTATGTAGTACAAGCAGCAACACAATTTAATGAATCATGAAGTATATCATTCAAGCTCATACATTCATTCAGTACAAAGACGATTTCAAGTATCATTAACACTTACAATGTATGTTTCATAACTTTATAACACATTTATTCTCTCAAATGTCAAGTACGATTCTAATGTTTTTGCGACTTTTGTCTAAAAGATAATGACTTGTTATTTTTGCTTTTTGGCGAGCATTCAGCCTTATATTTCAAACAAAAATAAATTGTGTAACGATAAAAATAAATAATTCATTCTCTATTGATATGACAATATCTGCAATTATGGTATTAGGGAATACATTCTTGATCTGGCGAATCAAGCTATGCCTTATCCAAACAAACATGTAAGAAAAAAAGGACATCTGTTATTTTCGATGTTTTTCCTTGTTTTGTCAAGAAAAACATCGATTTGCAAGACAAAGTTTGGTTTCTTGAAGTAATGTTTTCTTCATCCGGCAAATGTTTCGTTTTTTTGTGAGTGTTGATCGTCAGAGAGGCTATTGACCGCTTGCTGTCATTGGACGTTGAAGGTTTATCCGTTTGTTTTTGAAGACCACCCTCCAAAACTAATATCCAGCACTCCTCCCACCCAGTGCGTATAAGACCCTAATTATTCAGCCATCTGTCCCCTGATTTGTCAGCTAAGAGGCTTGCGAGCGCGTGTGCGATTTGCATACGCATGACAGGTAGACTTTGAACTGCCATCTCCGCCAATCAGAGCGCTCGTTTCATCGGCGGACACGAGATGTCATTCGCGCACGACACTTGGTTAATTAAAATGTGTCTAGCGGGGCCACTCACGGTGCGTTTGGCTTCGGGTGTTCGGTAGCTAGATAGAGCGCCGAGGTCGCTACGAAGGGCTGAGAGAGAAAAATAGCGGTGATGTCCCCATAGTTGAAAGGGCTCCCCCTTACGAGACAGAAGGAGACATTGGAATGGTCGAACCCTCGGCAAGTAAAGTCACCTGCGAACAAACGACTCATCTTCCCCTAGCCGATCGTGACACGGCTGGCTAGCACCAGCGCGCACCCCGCGACATAACACGCACGGCGGCGTGAAAAGAAACAATTCTCTCTAAACACTGATGCTCCATTGATCACAAAAAGACGGTAACGATTTGACACTCTGTGGTGAATTTGCGACAAACACTATCTCATGGCCGGCCTTCGAATCCTACCCAACGCGGAAACCCTGTGACAATAATTCGGCCAGCTTTTTTATTCCAGCAGTCCCGGGACTTTATACCTCGACGCTTCGTCCGACCGGCCGACGACGACGGGCTCCGACAACGTGAGAAACTTGCTCATATCCCTTGTCATCACCGAGATCATCTCCATCTAAAAGGACATGTTCATCGGCACCTGCCTGAGCTAAGCGGTGTTTACTAGTTTATCTAAATCTACGGTTACAAATCTCTACGGCTTCATGACAGGATTGACGAGATAATTAAGTCGCGTCTTCCTGTTCTCGTCAACGAACGAACCCCAGGGATTCTTATATTTTGCTTACAACTTACTTTTTTCTTCATCTGCTTGCGGAAGCCCAACCTAGCACCACGCGACTTCACGGCGAAGGTTACGGCGTCGACATGGCGCAGGTAAGCGATCCCTTAGCCCATTTCCCCCGATAGCACCCCGCTAAATATCTCTACCCAACCGACATCAAAACTCGGGGCTTTCCTCAAAAATTGCTGAAATAAAAACGCCTAAAATTGTGCAAAAACTAGCCAACGACGATATGCAGCAAGAGGTGGGGTAAGAAGGAAAAAGTAGACGTTGAATTATTGTCAATTAACGGGACAATATCAAGTTATAGATGCCAAGAAAGAATTGAGTAAAGCAATTAGTAACTAAATGAAGGGAGTTATAGAAGTTAGAATGATGTCATTTTTGTAGGATATCTAAATTTCTGTCCGCCGCACACAGGGCAGGGTTATGCTGAAGCGGCGTGACCACAGGGCCAGAGGCAATTTTTTTTTCTCTCTCTCTATCTTTCTCTATCCCATTTTCGTCACCACCACCTTCCACCACAACAGTTCGATGTCCTGACCGGTACCCGTTACGTCCATACCCCTCACCCTCACCCTCATCATCATCATCACCCACACACGCTCTCCCACCATCTCCCTTTCTCTCTCTCCCTCTCTCCCTCTTTCTGGCTGTCTCTCTCCGTCCGCTGGCCAATGACAGAGAATGAACCCTCGCTGAGAGAAGGGAGGGGAATGAGTGCCTTGGAGCTACAGTCACCGGACAGCCAACACTCACACTAGCTATTCAAGCTCGCGAAATCAGATCAGTTCGTACCTGCCCGCCGACCCCTCCACACGCCGGGCCGCTCACCGTTCTACCTCCTCGCACAACACCGTTGCGATTGCTATTATCAGCTTATTGATATATTTTTCCCTTTCTCTACCCTCATCTGTCGGAATTTCACATTGGTTTTATTTCTCTTCAGTTTGTGATTTTACATCTTTATCAGGATTGCTTTTGTTTGTTTCGACACCATGGCATCGACGGCTGTTTTAACAGTTCCTTCTTTGCAGGTTATTATCAAGATCTTTATTTTCGATTCGCTGTATTTTTCACCAAAAAATAGTTTTAATCCGTTAACGCTCTTTGGGGCCTCTTTTGAAGGAGAAAATCGCTCTCTTCGGTGCTTGGGAATAGAATTGAGTTCGCCCAAGGCTGACCGCTTCGCAAGTTTTATCGAATCTCTTTATTTATAAGGACAAAAATGATCGATGAAATTGCTATACCGGATTTTGTTTACCTCTTTATTCTTCGTGCGATTCCGGTTATATTTGCCAATCTACGTTCGTTTATATTTGAACAACGTGTGTTTAAAGTGATGTTTGAGTTGTGCTTGTGAATATTTGTCTTGATGGACTTTTTTCTGCTATATTTTTGTCTTTACAGGAACGTTCTGATTTGATCGCCCACCGGCCGGGTTTCAGCACGGCCTCCGTCGGGGGCAACAGCTCGTTCTCCCCGGCGACACGGCTATCGCATACCCCTACAACCACGGACTTCCAACCGCCGTACTTTCCTCCCCCTTACAACATTCCCCAGCCTCAATCCCAGTTGGATTTTCACCACTCGCATGTGAATGCTGACCCTTACTCTCACCTGAATCCCATACATCCCCAGCCGCAACATCAATATCAGCTCCACCCGCAACAGCGGACCCAGCACATGCTCGGCCGCCGGGAGGAAGCCGACCATCTACACCTCCAGCACCCTGGTATGCAGCTACCATCGGCTAGGGACTATTCAGCCGTGCGTCGCCCCGATGTTTTAGTACACGGAGGACCACACGGACTCGCTCCGGAACAAACCGATCTCATGCTACACCATCCCACGGGTCTTCATCCTATGGACGATGGCTCGGTAAGTCTTGTTTTTCTTTTTCAACCTTCAATCGTATACTTGCCCTTTTTATGGCTTTTATTCAGCTTTTATTCAACCGTACAATGGCGCTACAACTTAATCCTCTCAAATCAATTACAAACTACATGTGCTTAGCAATAAGATCGATAACCAAAAATCATTACCACTGAGGGGGCTCCATTGAACTTTTAGAATAAGGAATGTCATTGAAACCATTATAGTAGGAAACTCTTACAACAAACAACTTGCAACCATGCTGGTTATATATTTTCATGCCATGGAAATATCATACAAAGTACAAACTAGCTTTGTAATGAATTACGAAAATACCCATCACATTTTATTTAATGCAATATTTTTGGTGGAGGAAGTCCTAATAAAAATGCAAATTGAAAGAAATCGTCAAAGAAGAAATGCTTGACCACTTTGTAAAACACAGTTTGCAAACTTTATCAAAAATGTAAGGAGTAATAGGATAAACTACTAAGATAAATAATTATTCTTATCATATTTTATGATCTTGATATTAAACTCGTCAGCATCGTCTAGTTTCTCCCTACGATGGTATTAATTTGAAAGTTGTTTTTTTTTACAAGTAAAATCTTGTACCGGATTTTGCTACCCAACCTTTTATATGTTGCATGGTCTCTAGAAGAGTTTCCAAATAAATAATTATATTTTTAGACGAAAAACGGAACCAAGTATTTGCTGCATTCGTTTAAAAATAATAATAAAACCCCAAGGTTAGTTTTTTTTAAAGCAATACTAGTATTCATCAACATGCCTTCCAATGGACAAAGCCTGGATTATAATTGGAAAGAAGGCTGAGACTCGATGGGGGCAACTTAAAGCAGAATTGGTCAATGCCGTTTCATTATTGAACTACTTATTACCCGTTTTCCGTCCGGGACTATATTCCGTCTGAATAATGGTGGATGGACGATGGTAAAATGAGCAGGGATTGTAAATGCATTGTTGAAACATTGAAAACATTGTTGCCGTAAAATGTGTGTGATTATTGTAAGCCTAGTATAAATTTCCAGGAGATAATATCAATTTTATGTTACTGGCCAGAGATTTGTAAGTGAATAAAAAACATGCAAGTGTAAAATGGCAAGAATATTGATGAAAGTTTCGAATTAGTACTAAAATTCATGTCATAAAAGTTGTAAGTTTCTGTTTGTTTTGTTGGAAAATCATACATATATTGCATCCTTTACGAAAGAAGAAATGATTTAAAAGATATATATGATTGCCCAGTAACTTGTTGTCATCGTGATTTCATTTATTTGAAGTGTATTTTAAAAAATAACACAAAATAACTGTCAAAGAAATACCGGAAAGATTTTGTCGTTGTAATAGTCTTTTCTCAAAGTATGAGTATAAATTCAATATCATTATGAGAGACCTTATTTGATCTCACAATTTCTAAAAGGACGAACTTCAAAAATACAATTCTATTGTTGGTATAAATTTTGTCTTTTACGATTTTAAGATTTCCTGTTATAAGAATGACTATTATGTACAGTATTGTTAGTTTTCGTTTATGAACGAGACACGATTTGGTGAGCCTGCTTGACGCCACACAGTTTTATGGATTTCTATCAAGATATTATATTCTAGTATGCTTACGACGTCATATATTTTTATTGGTATACTTGTGTTGGAATATTTTCATAACTAAACTTATTGCATTGTATAATGGTACATATTCGCTAACAACATGTTGTCTGCAAGTTAGGAAAAGATTGTCGAATTAACGGTAACAGCGAGGGCTCCCCCTCTCGTTGAGGAGCAGTTAACTTGTCCCGAGGAACGTTTGTCAAAACATAATTTGCTTACACGTTAGTTACAATAAGACAATATTTGCCGTCCTCATTCACATTATTTACACATTTTATATAGGTTTTGTCTGGCGTTTAAATCATTTCTTGTACTACTCCTTGTGTTGTTGCGTAATAAGCTCAAGCAGGCTTGACAGTTATGTTTGTTTATCAGGGCGAATTCTTTCCCCGTTAGTGTGAGACTTTATAATTATGCCGCGTTTTTATCGATTTGTGAATTGTTTTCAGTTATTCAAGTCCCAGTTCAGCTGTACTATACAATATAAGTATCTCCACATATTACAGCAAGTGGTAGATTAATATGTACTTGTAAACAATTAGCATTTGTATGAATTGTATGTGACAGGGCTAGAGGTTTGAAGCATTCGGAACAATAACAATTGAAGATTTGATTCCTCTCATTAAGAGGAAGGAAGGGAGCTGTTTGTACGAGTAATTGCCTGTTTACTGCAAGAACAGGACGTTCACGTATTTTATATTACGAAAAAAGGAGTGAGGGGGGTATCTGGCAGAAGGTGCAGTTCTCACCGATTAATACAAAACTAAGTCAGGCTGGCGATCATTCCGGGCACAGTATGTGTCAGCAGGCGCACTTTCTATTTTATTCTTCTTCCAGTATAGCACACCTCCCCCCCCCCCCCCCCCCGACACATCATTTCATAGCATTATAATTGTCTCCCTCTTTTTCGCGACTGAGCAAGCAAGTCCGGTCAATACTTGATATTTTCTATTTGCCATTCGGATCAATGCTTTTTCTTGCTAGGTTGCACAGTCAACGCTCTCGCTGCTCAGCAAAACGCGAGAAAATTGCCGCTTTCCTCCTCAACCTCTATCTCTCCCCCTCAGCACGTCGTAAGTGAGATAGAGCTGTAGGGAACCTGTGTTACTGGGGATAGAAATGAACCAGTACTAAAGGAGGTTGAAAAATGATTGTTGAAGCGACAATATTTTGAGCAACCATTTAAAGTGCAGCTCAACCCCGACGAAATTTTCGTTCAATATATTGCTATACGAGTGATGAGAACAAATTCTCTCCCGTCCTTCCTCCCTTCTCCCCTTCTTTTTTTCTTCATTGACTCACACGTGTACAAAAAGTGAATTCCCTGGTGGTATGAAATTTGTAATTGAATGTCCATGGAAACGGTTTTCTGGTAAATTTGTTATGAAAGAATGGTAAATATTGGGAGATCCTGCCAGGGCGGAAGGGAGTTGGAGACGGGAGAATAGTCGCCAATTTCGAAGGATGACTCTCCCTATTCAGAGTAGAAAAAGGGCAAAATAGAATTACAGATTACAAGCTAGCATTAACCATGTTCAAAAGTATTGTATGCAGGTTTAGATATTGTGATAAGAGGCAGGGGGGGGGGTAGCGTCAAATTGACCAGGCCTACTTGTTTAATCAAACAGTTGAACAGTTAAATATGGAAGACTGTGTGTGAAATTCATATAAATCTCAAGCACTTAAAAATCCCATTGTAACATTTAAGGAATTCCATATCAAACTGACGTTGCCTCGCTTTGTTATCAAAAGAAAGAACGAACAATTTCCGTTTTTAATGAACACAAAAATAGGCACCAGCTTAATATAGAGTTACCGTATCGTTCTAATTATGTGAAAGTGAGTACACTTGCTTAAGTGTGCATAATTTCTCACCGACAACATTAGTAGAGAGAAAAGGAGGAGAAGTCAAAATCACTCTTCTCGATTCTGACAACTTCACACGATCGAGGCGTAAATGAAGCCTCTGCCTGGTTGTAAGTTATCCCGAAATAAAAACCTACCAAAATGCTAGCTGTCATCTAGGCAAACAGGTTGATAGAGCAGACACAGCATGCCATGGCAGTATTAACTTTCCCTTTTCTCATTCATAAGTCTACATTTGCGCTGCCGAATTAAGAGCGCGCCTCTGTCACAAAACCTGCACGAGAAAACCCCAAGTTTTGTCACAGGAGGCGTGTAACAGGGTTTCCAGATATATCTGTGAATATGATATTATGCTGTTTTACGAGCTGTGAAAGAAATAAGTCACCGGCCTCCTCGCACCTCGAGTAATTTCTGCCGCTGAACTGTTTTCACGTGTCAGTCGGAACCCACAGGGGCACAGTGCAGTCATAAAATTCAGCCATATATTACGACTGTCTTGTGTAGCGCTTTAACAAGCGGCGAGTTATTTATGTTCTTTTGCCGTGAACTATAACAGCGATTACTTTAGAGGCTTGTAAAACAACATATTGGTGGACATGGGTGATATATCAATTGAGTATACCGTTACTGTTTTGGGGAGAGCTCCCCTGCTTGATTTATGATAAGCGATCAGGACGACAGTTAAATACGACTTTCGTTCGCGTGGCAGGGAGTAAAACAATATGATAATGACAGTATACTTTTCAAATCGTCATTCCTCACGTTCAACAGGTTGCAGAAAGAAGAGAGAAAACCGAATGTGTATCTAAATTGCTGAGGAAAATGAATATCCTTGTTGTTGACACCCATAGGGGCTTCGCATAAAACGAGTCCAGAAATGAGGCCATTACGTCTGTGGCAAAGACACGCATTATTGTTTAATGAATAATGAAAATCGAATATAGTCACAGAGGATTTGAACAAGACAACATTTCGAAGGAAAGCGTTGATGGAGGAAAAATAATGACGTTAGTGAACACCAAAGGAAGATAATAATTTGTTTGGGAGATTTTAGGCAACTTTGTAGAATAGTTGCTGATAAAATCCCCATGTATGTTAACTGATGAACGAAAATCAATCGATTAATCAAAATTGGTCTAAGACTTCGAAGTGGGATTTTTCTTTAAAAACTATATTTCGATGGCTTCTTATCGAGGGGTAAAGAATGGGGTATGCCATGCTAGTTGGCCCCTCTAAAAATGATTAAAAGACCATTATCTTTCAGTGTCAAAACGGATGAGGCTTTGAATAGTGACATGGGGCGATGGTAAATGTTCGCATTACAACGAAATGTGATTTGAGTTTAGACAGGAAATGAAACACAATTTTGGTGAGGGAAATTGATTAAATAGTATGTGAAGTTTTGCCTCCGGTCATTATGTGCCGTTTACAGAAATAGTTTCATTATAAGCGCAATGGGACTGTGGCAACCTTTTAGGTGCATAACTGAGTTATAGGGTAAAAAGGGGCTC